TCGACTCACAAGTTTTCAGCGACACCGTAACGTTCGCAATGTTTACATTCCTACAAGCGTCCTCGTACTTTAACTATAATAGTTCAGGGCGAAAGTGTGCTTTATTACACTATTCATGGTGGAAGAGTGAACTGTATTTCTTAATTAAAACTCTTACATCACTGTTCATGTTACTAGAGTTACAAATACACAGGAATACGTTGTCATAGAACTATCTATCACGAAAACATTTGTCACCATAAAGCTAACGGGCCTGTCTACTTACAAGTGAATCATGGTGATGTATAGTCCTATACAATATGCTGCTATTTTACGTTGGCTTTCCGACATAGTGCCTATTTCGCCCACGGCCCGCCAGGCCATAGACTGTTTGATGGAAAGAGAGATTATTATGACCGAATGATAGGTAAATCTGAGGGGTCATAATATCCAGTGTCCAGTTTGCTACAGAATCTTCAAATATTCTCGACTTGTTTTCTATATTTAAAGGCACAATGTCACAAACCTTTCGACAATATTTTGGCCTATATATATATATATTGGGGCATTTACTTTATCGTCCCACCAGTGAGGGTCCGGGTTAGAATATTGATCTTCAGTAACCCATGCTTGTCGTGAGAGGCGACTAACGGGATCGGGTGGTCAGGCTCGCTGACTTGGTTGACACATGTCATCGGTTCTCAATTGCGCAAATCGATGCTCATGTTGTTGATCACTGGATTGTCTGGTCCAGACTCGATTTTTTATAGCTGGAATATTGCTTAGTGTGGCGATAAACTAAACTCACTCATTCACTGAAAATATTTCTTTTAGACCATATTTATTATAATACATGCCAGCTATCCAGATTGCGGCGTACAACTAAACTCACTCACTCACTACTTTAGCATCCTATTGATGCAATAAAAGACTTTTTATCCCTTACGGCTTGCTTGAAATCAATAATTGAAACTGCGAGGTGAACAGTTTCCAAACAGAGAATATTTCCATATATGGAAATCAATGTAAACAATTGCTCCGTACATCGACAATTGTCGCAAGCGGTGTTATCTGTGTTGCCCAAACTGGTTTCAATCGAAAAGTTGTGAGTAGAATATTCATAAAGAGCGCTCCAAGGCACATAACTCTGCGGCGTTCGCTTGAAATAATGTTCTCCCTTAATTATCTTAGAAGACATAATAAGGGGCTGACAGTAAGTATTATGAGAGAAATGCATTATTTATTTTAAAGGAAGTTTGGTGTGATATAGTGCCTTTATATTTTTATAGGAAGTTGGTGTGATATAGTGCCATTAATTTGGTACCTGTTTTGTTTTTAGACAAATAGCAACACCAATAAGGCATCAATATTTATACTGTGTGATGTTGCTTCAGCTGTCACCCGTTTTCTGTATTGCACAGGTTTGTTCTTCTTCTCACAAGGATATCCATGCACAAATTCAAGTAAGTCAGACCTTCTTACTTATTTCACACGTTTCAGAAGCATATTTCGTTTTCATAAGAAAAACAATCTAAACATGGCTTATTCTGTTCAGGTGGCAATGCCATTTACAACCGAATGTTCCTTTTGCCCTGTACACACTTCTGCCAAACGTCTCACCGACCGGACACAACCCACTAACGAAGCCTGTTCAGAAATAAATCATGTTGACGTCACAGGCCCACCCTCACTGAAGACCACTTTGAGATGCATATGGGGTAACGTTTTTTAGTCTTATACAATATACTGTTACTCCTGGGCCCGTGAAGATTCGAGGTAGAATTGGTCTTCAGCAACCCACGCTTGCCACAAAAGGCGACTATGCTTGTCGTAAGAGGCGACTAACGGGATCGGGTGGTCAGGCTTGCTGACTTGGTTGACACTTGTCATCGGTTCCCAATTGCGCAGACCGCCGCCATATAGCTGGAATATTGCTGAGTGCGGCGTAAAACTAAACTCATTCACTCACTGTTACTGCTGTAACTGTTAAAAATAGAAGACTCGAAATATCACCGTAGTTGATGTAGATTTGTTCTTTAAAACCATGTCTTCTTCTTTCCAGGTCTATCTGGCAGCCTCTTTATTAGCCATACTAAACCAGCCGGTCAAGGTACGGCACTTGCGCAACATAAGGTACCAAACATTTAGTAATTTTGAATCATTTTCTCTATTTGATATATCCTCTGTATTGAATTCTGCCTGTTTCTCTCAGTATTCCTTGGTGCTTTACAGTGGCAGTATTGTGCCTGTATATCTCACGAAAGATGGGCAAGAAAAGCCAATGAAGTCCTTTCCACTTTTGGTGAGACACCATCTTCACCACCTTAATACAATGTCCACCCTGTACCACTCACTACCAGATGCTAATTAATGTACAAAACATCAAACCCCCCCTCTTTGTCCTCAAATGTATGCATTCATAATTCTTTCTAGAACATCCAGACCACTCGCAAATAACATTCACTCCACCATGCATGCCAAAGGGCGGGGACGTGTACCTGCTCTCTACTGGCAAATGATCCCAACATAAAGTGTTTACATATCCAGATCATTAGTCAAATCGTAACTGTTTCAAGGAACCATGAAGTACTAATACAAGGCCACATCTATTTTCAGAAAGGTGGAACAATCAAGGCTAAAACCGATCAAAGCAAACAAATGCTTAACCCATTCAACACCGTCGGCCGGTAAACCGGCCAGAGAGTACTCGCATCAAAATTATCTATTATTTTAGGAACCTAACTAACATATGATTCTTTTTATCAAATCTATCACTTTTCACAATGTCTGAAAACACTTATTTTATTTCAAATGACCATGTATTATCGACAGGATTAGAACTATAAACTATTTTTCGCAATGTTATTGAAAAATAAATAAATTCTCAGACACATGCTTTTGGCAAGGGTCCACGGCAAAGTTGTCAAAGAGCTTGGTAACGATGTTTCGAGAAAATAATAAACAACCTGAATCAACTGAAGAATAAAATCCACAACAGTACTCATAAAAGTTGTCAAATGTACATTATAACTTACTATTTCCATCTTTTTGAGCGATCGTGTAATGTAATTCAAGTGACATCTCGGCTTTCGACGCCTCGAACTTCACGCTCGGACACGATGTTTAATGCTAAAATATATGCATGAAGCATTTTTGTCACAGGTCATAACCTAGCACGATACATTCACTAAGTTCCATAATATACGTATAGGTGGTGATTTATTGCGTAACACGTTCAGAATGGCGTGATTTTACCCACAACATTCGTCCGAATCATTAGTTGTCGTTTACGAGGACGGTATTCATTGCTGTAATATGATTGGCTGCCTTAGGTCACGTGTACGATTTGACCAGTCACGATCCTTATATCAGACTGTGGCGAAAAAGCGTCATTAGAAACCCATTTTTATCCAATAAAATTGCTTCTAACAACTGTGAAAATACTCTTGGCAAGGGTACAGTGATATTGTTGATGTTCACAGCTTTCGAACGATACCTGCCATCAAACGAATCGCCTCACATGTTATGTTCATACGAAGCTTCGAAAATCGAGGTATTTCCCGCTGTTGTATTACCGAGCGGAAAGTCACTGATATCGGGAAATGACGACCATACATATTATTTGAGGAATCTGACTGAGAGACTGACATGGCTATACAGAAAGAGCTGCCACGGACAGTCGTATATTGTTGGAATCATGTAACACAGGACATTCGGTACAGGCTGCGTAAGCAAAATGCTATCACCAGATAGCTGTCTATTCCAGTCATTCGGAGATCCTTCTATTGACAAAAGCCCAGGAAGATTCAACCTCCAATATAAACACCACACGTTCAGTTGGATCGTTCAATATTACTTGGATCAAAATATGAAAGAAGACATTTTCAGTTTCAGTCAGTCCTAACTTCCCTTGGCATAACTTCAAGTAACGGAATCTGTGAAGTCTCTGCTTAAAAGTTTAGTTGATTTTAAAGGACACAGACTCGAACAAGTACGTTTAACCCCCTTCCATCTGCAAAACCTCTTTTACATATAAATCCAACAAGTTCAGGCAGCTGAAATTTAAAGACTGAACGCTGGAACCTTCAAATATAACTGTGCCTCAACCTGCAATGTACCAAGACAAGATCGTGGAAGCATATAAATCCTCAGGTGGTATCAATTTACCTAATCAGCAAAAGCCCCATTGTTCAGAACTGGTTGAGAGCAAAAGTGATCCATATGCTGTTGGATTCTATATAAAGGAGGCTGCCTATCGATAATGGTCTGTTACCATATCTTAGGTGCATAATTATCAGTAGCTCATCAAAATCAGACCCATAAATCTGACAACTTTAAAGAAGAATCGTCAGAAAAGTCAAGATAAGAAATGTGAAAGGAAGACTCCCCTTTGGATCAGTGTGAGTCAGTTCTCGACACGTCTTCTCTGGCTACTAAAATGTATTCTCTCTTTAAAACGCAAAAAAAAGTCCAATCTTTTGTTCGCATTGAAAAATATCCTTCGAAGTTTCCAGCACATCTCCAGATATTCAAGATGGTGTTCGTGAACTTTTAATGAAAGGTATTGGTATTTGTTTTTATAATACTCTTGTTTTTGAGCAATTACCTAGTAGCTCTTCCTTAAGATCACATTCTCGTTCACTCTCTCATTAGGTTGTTGACACTTGATATAATATAAAGGTTCATAATTATCTGTTCAGAGATGTTTGTTGAACACCATCCAAAGAAGACCACTGAAGCGGAAGATAGCGATCTGGCCCGTCACGTAAAGCGTGAACCCTTCGCACAAGCACCCGTTTGAAGCAACTTTGGGTGCCTAACAGACGTTTGTCAACAGGACTCATGATCATCAAAGGCAACGTCTGCAGTGGTGTTTTGCTTCTTTATTCATCCATAAAGTTTGTTGACAAATTTATCTTAAGGGTAATAAAAGGCTGTACTCCTCATCCAAAGATAGCCAGTATAAATGGTTCATCTGTCCTTACTTAGACTTTTGGAGGATAGGAAGTTACTGGAATGGAAAGAATATTATGCTGAGAAAGTATGGCTTTACGTGACTGCTGATTAAACTAATAAGAAACTGGTAAATAATTATAATAAAAGATTAATGAATGAAAACATATTTAATTGTATATTTCTGTTTGTATTATTAGACTGCTTATTCTACATCGGTGAATAATCATTTCCTGCTGCAGAATACACCTTTCTTACTGGAATAGTCGGAGGTTTCTGTGAGTACATCAACATACAAGTGAACTGGATGGAAAATCCTATTTCCTTGTATAAGTCGATTGCCGTCTGGTTTTCAGCAAACGGGGTCACTTCGATATTACCTCCCTCGGGAACATGGTCAAGCATCTTTCTGATAAGCTCGTATCCCACGTCGTCAGTATCTGCATACGTTGGACAGAACTCCCACAATTTCCTGGTTTCTTTAAGAGCTGCATAACCAATGACGTTACCAGAACTGGATTCCACTGCCACGAAGACACAGGTAGCGTCACCAATGATGCATCTGTGAAAGAGTGTTGTTCTCTTTATTGGATGTGTCCGTCCGTCGTATTTCTCCACTAGCTCCAGGGGAACGTCAGCTAATGGAAGAATGCGGAATTCAGTCCTCGGTAATGATGGAAGCTTCTGGTTGGTTTTCGTCAGCTGCAGATTGTGAATTTCATGTAAAGGCTTGAATGGTTCAAGAACATGCTCAGGCTTAAGTGCTGTGATTAAGACATTTTTCTCTTGAACTCCTGCTAATACTGCACTTTTCAGTTTCCCACCGATCCCTTGACTTCTGTATTTCTCATCGACAATAAACATTCCAGCGTGACAGGTTCTGTTGTCCTCATGATTGACCATGTTGCAGCTACCTAGACGTGAAAAAATAAACATATATCAATTCATATCAGTGAGGGAGGGTTAACGGCCAATGAACACTCCAGCGTAAGGTCGGAGGGAATTCCGAAGTGGTGTAGTTCTTAGACTATTATCACTAGCACGAACATAGGTGTGGTGCTGACATCTTTGAAACACTTTTAGGACGAATATGGAGTTTCAGGTCATGATGTCTTTTCTAACGCCTTGAAGACACTACTCTGTTGAATGACACCCTTACATGTGTGGTATATGCATGAAAATCAGTAAGATTTATTCCCGTCGCAACTTTGCACTGACGTCGAAAGTCCAGTTCAGAATATGCCCCCAAGACAAAGTAAACAGGGATCAAGATTTGGTATGTGTGAGGAATTCTTCGAGGGATGTCACCTGCACATTCTTATCGGTGTTTCATAGTTTTTCAGGGTTTCAATATATACCACACAAAGTTATTATGGATGAAGATTTGGTTACATAAATATCATCCAACAAAAGACTGAAATACCCCCCTACACAATGTTCCTAAGCCCCCTCAATTTCATGGGCGGGCAGAGACATACAGTGATGGCTACTGTGTGTTTGATGTGCTTGCAACCCTTATGTATTGTTTCAGAATCGTCGCACAACAGTATCAGAGAGCAGAACTACATGAATTTGGCAGATGCATCGGTACGCCTGAAACTGGGTGAACAGAACGCCATGTTGCAAACGTCTTTGGTTGTCAGCCAAAGTGTCACCAGCCGGACATGCACCAGATACCAAACGTTTGGATCGGTCACCCAGCTTACCACCATATAGCAGGGAGGCGAGTTTCTCGGGACATGGGATGAAACATATCTCCTAAACTTCCACATTTTCTTCTTCGACATAGTGATTTTTTTTATGTAAAGCACATTGTGTCGTTAAGCATAAATTATACTCACGGAGAGACAAAACATGGCTTCATTGCATATGACGAGGAGCGATGCGAGTGTCCGCAAGTGTTCATTCTGAACAATCTATCCTTGTTGGAGACTCATATTTTCTCTGTTCAGTGAATATATTTGCACTAACTTCATTCAATGTCGCTATTTCATATATGTTCCTCTCCTGATGTCAGCACTTCATGACAGCCACCACACTCAGACCCCTCGGAACGAGAGTGGCAATATATGTTCAGTGAGGCTGATCCGATCACAGGCATACACGTTTAGACTGGAGCGAAGATAACGCCAGTAGAACTGGCCTCAAGGACCTTTCACTATTAAATCCAGATATTGTCTGTACTTCACAGATCGTCGTGACCGAATGGAGGAAAATGTCACGATTCAAACGTAGCCGATCATGAACATGCGGAGTCACGTGACCTGGTGTGGAATCAGTAAAGCTCGAACACAAGTCCACTGTCCCCATGGAGTTGCCAGTCCGATCAATAAACATCAAAACTATCGAACGCATATGGAACGACCTTCATATTGACCTTTCACGACGCTCCGTGCTCTAACAACTCCACAGGAACAATCTTTCCTTGACAAACCAACCACAACGGTGCCAGGCTGTGGTCGCACCAAGTAGATCACAAAGCGCTGGCTGGATTTCGTCAATGAATTTGTTTGCGCATTTTGGGGTTTCTTGTGTGTGTTTTTTATGAACTTAACTGAAGCGATTTCTGAAATGAATACCCCATTATGATGTTTTCAATTTTTCGGACAAATTGTGTACAAGTCGCAAAACACGTTGAGATTCGAATCCCAACAACAACAGTGTTGTGTCAAAATACCGGTACACAGAACAATGCAATTTAATGTTTTGGAGGGTCAAATATACTCAACGAAGTTACAAGCTTGACACCCCATTGTTTTGGTAATAATTGTGAAGAAGTTCATTCTGTTTAGTTTCATGTTGTGCCATACGCACAGAAATGACACCTGATAAACATGATAATGGCGACAGACGAGTAACATTTTGTCGATGGCAGGGTACGAGGGTGACACAGGAGGGGGAAGGTCACATACAGGGTTGCGCCCGTAAGTTTGCCGGATTCGGATGATGAGCGTAATTGTTTTGGGATTATGTCGTGCCAATGGTCGATCTAAATGATTGTCGTCCAAAAGGATCTTACTGCCATATGGTATCGAGACAGAGCTTTGTCTCCAGTCCTTCTGTCAGTATTCCGATAGACGCATATATTTCAGGAACCTGTGGCATTTTCACGGTCATGCATGTACAAAAGGTTTCTTGTGATCTCTTGACAGCTAAACAATCTTTGTATGTTATATGCAATATAAAACCGCGACCTTAACGTCGAGATGACTGACAAATACCAACTGAAATATGAATTATCTAATTTCAGAACATTCAGTTTTCCTGAAATATACCTAAAAGTAATACTGATCAATACATTTGTTATATCTTGGGAAATATGTTTATAACACATTTCAATATTCTTTATAATGCACTTAATGCATAACCCAAATAGGGCCCTTTCGGTTGTTTTTGTTTTGCATACGTTTTTCATACTTTCAAGAAGTTCTCGGCAAAAAAGGCTTAAAACGTGCCATTTCAAAAGTGTGGCTCTAAACCTCGAATCATTGTCACCCAAATCATTGTTTAGACGTCGACGGGTCCGAAAAACATAAATTTGAAAGAATCTGCTTGCATTTCTCTATGCCACGGCTAACTGAAAATGGAAGATGGCGAGCCATTGGAATGCTTGAAACCGGAACACCCCAGCGCAACGTTGCACAGCAGCTTAACGTGCACATGACCACCATATGCCGCTTGTGGAACCGTTATCAACAAAACGCCGTCGTTGCAGACCGTCCCCGAACGATCCAACGATCGTTGGATTCGAACCACCTATCTGCGCCAAAGATGCCAACCAGCCACATTGACATCCCGAACAGTTCCTGGTGTCAACAGGATATCGCCAAGGACCATTCACCGGCGTCTGGCTGCCCACGGGATGGATCCCAGACGTCCTGCCAGACGACAAATTTTTAAATTACGTCACTAACGTCTACGACTGCAGCGGTGCTGAAAACATCTGCCTTGGAGAGCACTGCCGGGTCCATATTCCTTTTACAACTCGCTGATGGTCGAACGCCAGATCTGTCCCCAATCGAACACGTCTGGGACGAAATGGAGAGGAGATTGAGACGGTGCCTAAATTCTGCAGTCACGCTTCAGGAACTCCGCAGGTGCCTCCACAGATATGGAACACCATTTCACAAGACTTCTTGCGACGTTGGATTGGCTCTATGAGGCGCAGGCGTCAATCAGGCATCAATGCTCACGGTGGACATACACGTTATTGACTGTGTGAATTTCATTTCACCGTCCCCTCACTGTGACCTCATTAGCATGTGTCCGCCCTAACAGTTTAACATGTGCCATTTACAAACCTATTGTGTAATGATTTCCTTGCAACATTGAAAAAAGTCTCCCACACCCACACCCCATCCACACCCAGACACGCCCCCCTCCCCACAACACACATACTCCGTCCTCACACACATCCCATCCACACCATGCCCACACCATGCCCACACCCACGCAGCCCCCACACCCACGCAAGCACGTACGCACGCATGCACTCCCCCATATACCACTCATACGCGCGCCCTCTCCCACCCACCCGTTCCCACCCCCACACCACACCCCATCCATAGCGCACCTACACCCCATCCACACACACACCCACACCCCATCCATAGCACACACACCCCATCCATAGCACACCCCATCCACACCCCACACACACACCATCCACACCCCATCTACACACCCACGGCCCTCACACACACACACCCCATCCACACACACACACCCACCACACCTCATCCATACCACACCCCATCCACACCACACACACCTCATCATTCACACCCACGGCCCTCCCACACATACACCTCATCCATAACACCTCACCCATACCACGACCCATCCACACCACACCCACGGCCCTCCCACACATACACCTCATCTACACCACACACACCCCATCCACAGCACACCCACACCTCATCCACCACACCTTATCCACAATACACCCACACCCATCCACACACACCCATCCATACCACACCTCATCTAAACACACACACACACCACACCCCATCCACCACACCACACCCACCCACACACACACCCACACACACACACCATCCACAGCACACCCACACACCCCATCCATACCACAAACACAGACACACACGCACACACGCACGCACGCATGCACGTACGATCCACGATAGCATGGTGTGCTGAAGACCAGTTCTAACCCGGATCTTCACGGGTTTAACAAGTCAAGCGATATGCAAAGCAGCCACTTCGCTAGAGTACGTTTTTACTCACCAATGACCCTGCCGTCACTGCTTTCTGCCACCCACCAATCCGAGAGGCCGATGTCGTTAAACTTTATCAGAGTCGAGAGAGACAAATCCCACCCTTCTTGCTGGACCAACTTAGCCACACGCTTCAAGTCAGACCGGCCAGCCAAACGCCTGATCACGACACCGGCCATGCTCGTAGTGTTGCTTTGCACTGATGACTTGATGAACCACCTGTCAGTCACATTGGGATCGTCCACCACCTACGCTCGCTCGTGTCGTAACGAAATCCACCAATGATTGATACAAGTTTGAGGCAATGCTGGATGCCAGCAGATGATATGAATATATATAGATATTACGAAGCAGCAAAAGAAACCTCAGTTTCGAATTTTCCTTCGCAGAACAGATAACTGTAAACCCATTTAATGTTTTGATTGTATATTTTTTACAACATCTCCAACTTTACCTGAGCAAAGACATTCCTTCCCAAACTCAGAATGGAACCCAGGAAATGGCCTCAGAAACGCAACCTGATCTCGGAGATGGTACGGTGTTCTCCTTGTTTTGCACGTGCTGTTCACAAGGACCAGCCCTATAAAATGCAGCCCAAACCTGGTTGAAACATTCACATTACAACGTCAGCAGGATTCCGCTACTCACGACAGCTTTTCAATATTTCCTCTTTATCAAGTACAAAATTCGGACAAAGTTAAACGAATTTCAAAAGAACACTAATCAAAACAGAATGTCTTTTTCTCCAACATGTTTCGTTCTTTACTCTGTAAAACATTAAGACGACTTTAGTTTTTACGCCGTAATGGACCGACCTATGCTGACAGTCATACAGTGGTGAGCCTTGATCTACAACTCCGTAACAGTAACGCAGTGTGTGTGTGTGCGATGTTCATGCTGTTGATGGCTGGATTGTCTGATGCAGACTCGATTATTTACAGACCGCCCCCATATAGCTTGACTATTGCTGAGTGCGGGCGTAAAATAAACTCACTCACTCACAATGGATACTCGTGCTGCTCGAAAAGCCATTAAATTCGACGAGTACATGATGTGCATGAAGTATCTCCGCTTATGGAAAGGCTGTGTAACCATTATAATACATATTGAACATGTCTGACAATGACATTGAATATGTTATATCCTGGTTGATAAGAAGTGCCAAGACAGTGTTTCTGTTTGCAATACGTGTATTTCGTGCGTCTGCATTATAACCGTATATGGTGTTGGCTGAAGAGCCGTTATAATCTTGCACCCTGTACATACGTTTCTTTCAATACTAATTCATACTTTCAACCTGTGATATGACCTAATTTTATGGAGCAAACATTGTTTGTATATTTTGAAAACATGTATGTACATGTTCGGTTATCAAGTTGCATCTACTTGTACATTTTGAGGTAGCTAATGTTGTTTATTACTGTAAACGCTCCAGTAAAATAGGGGCTGTTGCATACGTTGGGAGGATATGGTCCCAGAGTTTTTTCATATAATTTTATCTGTGGTTTTATGTGTCGGGCTTCGGCTTCGTAGATCATTGCTATGTTTTTGCGGTGTGTGTATGTGTTCAGAGGAGACTAAGGTGGAAGTGTTGTTGATGGTAAATAAAGAGGATGTGTACTACTATGCCGTGTAGGTGTTACCAGTTCCAATGGATGATGGGCTGCAGCGTATAGGATGGTGGCATTGAAGAACACTTAGGGTATGCGAGTCAGCCAATGAGCATGAGTGGTATTGCATCATATAGGTAATATGTAACGGCTATTTTAGTAATGTCTGTTGCAGACAATATAGAACCGCAACGAAATATTCTTATATCATTCCATATCACATGTAAATTATATAAATCACTTTCATTTATGATCGGTGAAGGTCCGGGTTAGAAAACAGAATGTGTTTTTCTCCAAAAGTTTCGTTCTTTACTCATAAAGACGACTTTTGTTTTTACGCCGTATTGGACCAACCTATGCTGACAGAGATACAGTGGTGAGCCTTGATCTACAATTCCGTAACAATAACGCAGTATGTGTGTATATATATATATATATGTGTGTGTGTGTGTGTGTGTGTTAGTGTGTGCGAGAGAGAGAAAGAGAGTGCTTATATATGCGTGTGTGCGAGAGAGACACACAGAGCGTGCTTATATACTGAGTCGAAAAAGAAACTTCACATTCTTTCTTCAGGGCTCTATAAAAGAACAAGAGATGGTAAGATGGTTAAATTGTTATTATTTCATTGCTGTGATCTGTGTGATGTACTCGATACACTGACAGTGCCATAATCAGTTCCATTAGGCTACACCGCCGTTCCAAAACATGGGTATACAGAATGTCAAGTCACAAGAATAAAATTGCGACATTTCTCAGTTCAATATCGTGTATGGCCGCCCCGCGCATTCACCACTGCCAAACACCGTCTCCTCATCGACTGCCTGATGCTTGTGAACAGGTGGTTGGGGATTCTGTGCCATTGCTCCTGCAAGGCAGCGCCAAGTTCCTGCAAATTCTGAGGTTGGTTCCTAAGACCACGAAGCCTTCTCCCAAGTGCATCCCAAACGTGCTCTATTGGATTAAGGTCAGGGGACCAGTCCATGACGTTGATTCCAGCGTTCTGAAGGAAATATCGTGTCAACATCGCGGTATGCGGCCGAGCATTATCATGCTGGAACTGTAGACTGACTGACTGAGTTTGGTTTTACGCCGCGCTTAGCAATATTCCAGCAACATCAAAGCGGGGGACACCAGAACTGGGCTTCACACATTGTACCCATTTGGGGATTCGAACCCGGGTCTTCGGCATGGCGGGCCAACGCTTTAACCACTAGGCTAACCCCCTCCCGTACAGTAAATTCTAGTAGTTATATAACATGATGACGATGAATGGAGGTATTGTACCAACCAGACACATATTTATACAAGAATGATATCAAGCACATACCTAAATATTTACAACAGCTGCAGATGTATAGACTAACACAACCTTTCGTAACTGCAATATAAATGGTTTTATATTATTTTTAAGGCTGACACAATATCATATATATATTAGCCAGCTCAGCGACATGTGTCACTTCAGATCGGCCAACCAAACGTCTGATCACAACACCTGCCATGGTGGTAAGGTTGAAAACATCTGGCACTCTCTGGTATACACAACCTGCGGTATTACCTAATGTATTTCAATGCTTAATTAGGGCCTTTTCGATGTAGAGGTCGTTCCTGAAGCTTGCCACAACAGGTGGATTGTATGCTGTTTTATACAATGTATGAATTTGTGATAGTCCTGGACAACGTGTACCGGTTCTCGACTGTGGCGTCATTGCCTGTAACGATATAGCGTATGATCTGTTTTTGTCAAAAAAGATACCGATGAATCACAATCTAACTCCATATCGGTTCATGATCAAGCATTCATTTCAAGACAGAATGAGTCTTAAGCGGAACACCAAATTCATTCTTTAAAAAACTTGTGGTTAATTAATACCGGGCGATTAAAAGTTGCCAAAAAGCCGTCTGCTTCACTCTCGCCCACTAAGGAAAACACAGAGGTTGCGTAACTCAGTCGCCAGAGCACTGCAGCGAACCGGAACTAACGTTATGTGAGGAAAGATTTTCATTTAGTTGTATATAAAATGTGTAACAAGCTCGTCATTTTGCTGATTTCTCGACGTCATTGAAGACATGCCGAATAGTTGCGTTGCCGTCATTTGCTCCCAGGGGTCGGGTGATGGTGTCACCATGCACAGATTTCCACCAAACTCCCCAGTTCGTGCTAAATGGTTTATGTTTGTTAGTGCGAAGCGAGCGTTGTGGAAGCCTGGAACGATATCTTACTTGTGTTCAGATCACTTCACGGAAGTTAAAAAATCAAAACTACTTACTAGGTGGAGTAAAATATGTATATGATTGATGACCAAAAAGATTTTGCATGAGACAACTTGTAACATAACGATTTCTTCCCCGTAAGCGAGGTTGTGTTCGAAGTGACAATAATACTGTAAGTAGTATTATATTGACACCCACCTCGCATCCCAGAGAGAGAAATTGTTATGTTATAAGCTATGTCATTCAAAATCCTATTGGCCATCAATCAATACATATTTCACTACCAGTAGAAAGTAGTTTTGATTTTGGAACTCGGTGAAAACAAACCTACACAGCATTTATTCTCTGACTGGCGGATGTTCTCGACAGGGCGCCGCCATTTTTGAAAATCGTTAAGTCTGTTCGAAAATCAATGAGATTATGGTTTGTTTTCATCAAGTTAGAAAATCAAAACTACTTTCTACTCATAGTTAAATATGTGTTTGAATCATGACCTAAAGGATTTTGCATGACACAACTTGTAACATATCGATTTATTCCACGGAAGCGAGGTGGGGTCAAAGTGACAATATTGCGCGATAAATGTCTTGCTATACATTCACGTGGTTAATGTCCACTCACCAGTATGAACATACTAGTCGATCTTCTTCCTGTAACCGTGATAAGTAAGGCTAATCATCGCTTTCACTATCACTAGCATCTGGCTCAAACAAATAAGGCCTAGCAACAACAAGCGATTTTGAGAGAATCGTCTATGAAAACAAGTTGTAACTCGGAAGCTAGGCAAAGCAGGTGACAAGATTAAATGACAGTAGGTTGTGAAAACATAAAGCTTTCACTTTTCACAACATTTTTCACGATTTCAGTTTTAGACAAACCTGTAAACAAGATAATTTACTCCCGGAATTTTACATGAATTCTAAAGCGCCCCTCGTATGTATACCTCACATAACGTGACGGAGATGCGCCCCCTCTGATTGGTTGAAATTCGGTTCGCGTGAGAGAATTGTACGCACTGTTGTCAAAAAGATTTAAGTTAATTAAAGGTCGAAATGAGCAGTTGTAATGACGGGGTTTCATTTATAACGATGCCAATATATGATTTATGTATGTGTACCTCCCTAGAGTATATGTGATCTTTGTTAGCTGTCAACAATCATGTTTATAATGATGATAGTTTGTTACACAACTTTTTCTGTGATGCATGACAATTTCTAATAGCTGAAAAGGTGTTTGGGTATAGGTTATTCATGAACATCTTGCCTCGTAATATGTATTAACTACCTTTCTAAACTGATATAATTAGCAATTGATCGGGACACGTTCTAGTCAAACAGACTGTAGAGCAAAGGAGGATTTTCTCTCTTCCAGAATGACTGAGTTTGGTTTTATGCCGCTTTTAGCAATATTCCAGCAACATCACGGCGGGGGACACCAGAAATGGGCTTAACACATTGTGCCCATGTGGGGATTCGAACCAGGGTCTTCGGCGTGACGAGCCAACGCTTTGACCACTAGGCTACCCCCACCGCCCCCTTCCAGAATGAAAGGAGGCTTATTCGGTGAACACAATTTTCACTTTGATATGCTAGCTCTGCGTGGTGATTTTATGAGATGTGTTTACCTGTACCTATAGAGATCAGATCGAAGTTTTACCAAGTGGACTTCGTGATTTAACTGCTGCAGGAGTTGTTGTCTCACTCCAGAGCAGCTTCCACAACTAAGAAATACCGTTACCGTTTCGCAGTATGGAAACGGTGGGCATACTCATGTTGTATTGAGAAATTGCCATTGTCACCTTTGCACTGTGCATTACATTTATTATCTGTTGTTCAAAATAGCGAATCGTTTGCGTTGGTTCAAACATCACTTTAAAGCATTCGTGATACTCATGTGTGTATTGGTCTACTAAGTCCAAAAGAGAATAGTTTTCTCACTATGAATGTTTTGAAAATTAGCAAAGACTGCAAATAAGAAAGAGCCTATTGCTGTAGCTTTACTGATTAAATGATACGATTGTAAAATGTTACAACCTGCACTGATGACTCGAAAAGCCATTAAATTCCACGAGTACATGTTGTGCATGAAGTATCTCCGCTTATGGAAAGGCTGTGTAACCATTATAATACATATTGAACATGTCTGACAATGACATTGAATATGTTATATCCTGGTTGATAAGAAGTGCCAAGACAGTGTTTCTGTTTGCAATACGTGTATTTCGTGCGTCTGCATTATAACCGTATATGGTGTTGGCTGAAGAGCCGTTATAATCTTGCACCCTGTACATACGTTTCTTTCAATACTAATTCATACTTTCAACCTGTGATATGACCTAATTTTATGGAGCAAACATTGTTTGTATATTTTGAAAACATGTATGTACATGTTCGGTTATCAAGTTGCATCTACTTGTACATTTTGAGGTAGCTAATGTTGTTTATTACTGTAAACGCTCCAGTAAAATAGGGGCTGTTGGATGCGTTGGGAGGATATGGTCCCAGAGCTTTTTCATACAAATTTTATCTGTGGTTTTACGTGTCGGGCTTCAGTTCCGTAGATCATTGCTATGTTTTTGCGGTGTGTGTATGTGTTCAGAGGAGACTAAGGGTGGAAGTGTTGTTGATGGTAAATAAAGAGGATGTGTACTACTATGCCGTGTAGGTGTTACCAGTTCCTATGGATGATGGGCTGCAGCGTATAGGATGGTGGCATTGAAGAACACTTAGGGTATGAGAATCAGTCAATGAGCATGAGTGATATTGCATCATATAGGTAATATGTAACGGCTATTTTAGTAATGTCTGTTGCAGACAATATAGAACCGCAACGAAATATTCTTACATCATTCCATATCACATGTAAATTATATAAATCACTTTCATTTATGATCGGTGAAGGTCCGGGTTAGAATATTGGCCTTCAGAAACCCATGCTTGTTGTAAGAATTTGAATTGTCTACATCGGCGAATAATCAGATCCTGCTGTAGAATAAACCTTTTTTGTTGGAATAATCAGGGGCTTCTTTGAGTACAACACTGTAAGAGTGTATTGGAATAAGAATCCAATTTCATTGTATAAGTCAATCGCCGCCTGATTTGCAATGAAAGGATTCACTTCAATATCTGCTCCCTCAGGAACATGGTCAAGCATCTTTCTGATAAGTTCGTATCTCACGTCGTAAGTATCTGCATACGTTGGACAGAACTCCCACACTTTCCAGGTTTCTTTAAGAGATGCATAACCAATGACGTCTCCAGACCTGGATTCCACTGCCACGTAGACACAGACTGCTTCACCAATGATGCATCTGTGAAAGATTGTTGTTCTCTTTATCGGATATGTCCGTGCATCGTATTTCTCTACTAGTTCCAAGGGGACGTCAGCTAATGGAAGAATGCGGAATTCAGTCCTCGGTAATGGCGATAGCTTTTGGTTGGATTTTGTCATCATCAGGCTGTGAATTTCATATAAAGGCTTGAAAATGTTAAGATTTCGCTCAGGTTTAAGTGCGGTGACGAAAGACATTTTTCTCTAGAACTCCTGTTAATACTGCACTTCTCAGTTTCCCACCGATCCCTTGACCTCTGTATTGCTCATCGAGAATATACATTCCACCGTGACAGGTTGTGTTGTCCTCTTGGGAGAACATTTTGGCGCTACCTGGACGTGAAACAAAACTTTAACATGTTATATTTGCACTTATGTTAGTGATTCAGTGATTGAGCGAGCTTGGTTTAACGTCACCTTGGACAATGTGATACTTATATCACCAGGCATCAGTGTGGTGGTGGGGGAAGATGACGTAGACCTCAGACGATTACAACAGCTCAGTGAAACCGACGAGCATACGGATGGTGATTACAATCTCAAGAATGGCGCTTTCAAACTAAGCATCACAATCACAACGATCCTGGTTTGGCTAAGGGATGCAACCCTGTACAGTAAATACCAGTATCTATAACATGATAACGATAAATGGAGATATTGTACAAACCAGAAACATATTTATCAATGAAGCATATCAAGCACCTACCTAAGTTTCTTTACAACAGCTTCAGATGAACAGACTAACAAAGTCTTTGCTAAATGCATATAGACTGGTTTTATATTAATTGTTTTAAGGCTTACACAATACAGACATAAACACACTGCAGTGATACTTGCCACTGCAAGAAAGTGTGATATGACTGTAGTTATACCAATATTTCACCAATATCCAGGGTACCAAATAAGCTTCACTCCCATATCTGCTCAAATGTTTTGACATCAATCACTCGGTTCTCGATTGTGACGTCGTTGCCTGTAACGATACAGTGTATGATCTGTTTGGGTTAAAAAGATACCGATGAATCACAATCTAACTCCATATTGGTTCATGATCAAGCATTCATTTCAAGACCTGTTTGCTTCACTCTCGCCCACTAACGAAAACACAGAGAGGTTGCGTAACTCAGTCGCCAGAGCACTGCAGCGAACCGGAACTGACGTTATGTGAGGAATGATTTTCAGTTAGTTGTATACAAAATGTGTATCAAGCTCGTCATTGCAGGAAACTGTCACATGACTGTAGTTATAGCAATATTTCGCCAGTATGTCATCGAAAGAAACTGTGATATGATTGTAGTTATAGCAATATTTCGCCAATATCCAGGGCACCAAATGAGCTTCACAGACAGGATTTGTTGGGGGAATTGAACAATTGGCCTCGCGTTTTTACTGATAATCAAATCTAACAATAACTAGCACAATTCGTCACAGAGACAACAATTGACTCACCAACGATCTTTCCATCTTTCTCTTCTGCTACCCACCAATCCGAGTGATCGATATCAAAACATTTGAGCAGATATGGGAGTGAAATGGTCCAGCCTTCTTGTTTAGCCAGCTCAGCGACATGTTTCACTTCAGATCGACCAACCAAACGTCTAATCACAACACCTGCCATGGTGGTAAGGCTGAAAACACCTGGCCCCGTCTGGTACACACAGACTGCCGTATCACCTGAATGTATTTCAATGCTTGATTGGGACCTTTGGATGGGATCGTCCACCGCACACGGGGCTCACGTTTTAATGTGGCCGGGGGAAGATGATTCACGTGCATGTTGAGAGTAACGAAATTTACGGCGGCGTTGCCTATGAGAAACAATTTGTTGTAATGCCAGATTTCATTTGGCGTGAGAGGCAACTGACGGGTGGTTAGCCAGTCGACTTGGTGTGAATCTATGAATTTCAACAAGGCATTCTTCTCGCCCTGGCTGAAAATATGTTGCAAAATATGTTATAGGCCTACAGTTATCAGAGCATTTATCATTTATGTGTGAATATGAAAATGTTTATTAATATTTTGGAAAGGGTTCATCTTTATGCTTGTAAAAGACTTTTAGGTGTTAAGATCAGCACTTCTAAGTGTATGGTATATGGAGAATGTGGACGTTATCCATTTTATTTTGGAGCATATAAGTAAATTTAAAGAAATTTAAAAATATGCCACAGTCACGATATTCGAAAAATAACGTTACAATATGTTGTGTATGTATGATAGAAATGGTAAGATAAATTGTGTATCAAATGAGAGAAATGGGCTTCACGCATTGTACCCGTGTAGGGAATCGAACCCGGGTCTTCAGCGTGACGAGCCGACGCTTTAACCTTTAGGCTACCCTACAAATCCTTTAAATCAGGTCTCGTAGCAGAGCATTACTCCTTTGATGTTAACACTGAAAAGTTCACGACAGCAATTGCACGATTACAATGTACATCCAATGAATTAAATATTGAAACAGGCAGATATCATAATGTTCCACGAGAACATAGACTGTGTATGTCTAGGGGTGATAGAAAATGAGTATCATTTTATATTAGTTTGCCCGTATTTTCACAATTTCAGAATGTTATATATCCCACAATTTTACCGTATCAGTCATTGTGAATATAACTTAAAGTTATTGCTGAAAGCAACAAATTGGTCTTATTCGTGACGAGCGAATGCTTTAACCTCCAGACTACCCCACCGCAGATTAAGTGGGATTCACAAGCTATAGCCTCAATATTATAATCAGGCTGCATTTTCTCTCAGGTGAAATTCCTCTCTATATATGCACTTGGAATATTCGAAATAACTTTCAGCCAATGATACTTAGTCTCTTTGTATGTTGGCAATTCCAAATGACCAATGAACATAGCTGTAGCAAATTAGGAGCCATGTGACTATGTGGGTAATCCGAAATAATTGTTCCGCTTAAATCGAGTTTTCTATAAATCTCTAACTTATACACATTCTGTGTTTTTACTGATCACAAAACGTTCATAAACTGATACACTTTCAATTCAAAACAATTGTACACGTAATAGAGCACACCTGTACTAGTTCAGTGCATAATTCCGAATTGCAGAATCAGAAAATCCATTCCATTTTAGTAGCACACATTAGGCTTTCCTACACGTGTGTTACTATTTTAGGGAGGGAATCCCCGATACGTCACGTGATTGAAAATAGCGCCGCTGACATGCGAGTGATCGACTGAGAAGTCTGATGGCTTGCAAATAGTAACCTCTGTATAATTTGATAACGGAAATGGGGCGCACTTGTAGGTACAAGTACAAAGAAGTCATTCATAATATGTAAGCTTTTCGTGCGCAATAATCGTAACGGGTGCGCGAAAGTGCGACAAAGGATTTCCTCCATTGCGGGTATGCAGTATGGTGGGACGTTTCTGTTTCGTTCCAGTGTGTGCTTTTGTCTGTTTGGTGGTTTTTGTTTTGTTTTATGTAGATGGGAATTTACTTTTGTTGGACTTGTTTGTAAATTGGTTATCTCCCTGCCAATAATTTTAGAGTTATGGTAGTTTTTTAGTTTTTTTAAATGGTTGAGATTTTGAGTGAACACATTTTTTAGGTGAAAATTGGAATTTTGGTCTTTAATTTTCCCTTTTTGGAAAATTTTGATAGGCTTTTCATTTCGGTTTTAGATAATGGTATGTTTAAGTTAACTTCTGGGAGTTTAAGTGGTGCATATGATGTCAGTGTATTCAAGTGGAGTGTGTTTGAGTCAGTGTATGTATTCATAGTTATCCTATCGTGGCTCCCCTATTAACCTTTATCCGTTCTTGCTGAAGCAGCACAGGATGTTTATTTTATTGGAAGTGGATATTGGCGGATGTCAATGGGACTGACATGACGTGTTCAAATATGGGTTAAAACTCTTACAGCACTGTTAATGTTACTAGACTTACAAATACACAGCAATATGTTGTCCTAGAAATATCTATCACGAAAACAGTTGTCACCATAAAGCTAACGGGCCTGTCACAAAGGAAGCATGTTCCTGATGGTGATGTATGGCCTCATACAGTTTCCTGTAACCGAATGATAGGGAAGTTATTTTACGTGCACTCTCCGGCATGGTGTTTATTTCGCACATGGAGCCCGCAAAGTGATATAGTGTTTGATTGAAAGAGAGATTATTGTGACCGAATGATAAGGAAATATAATATCCAGCCTCCGGCTTGCTGCAGAATCTTCAAATATTATGGACTTGCTTTCAATACACAAATACCTGGTTTGTTTTCGGACAAATGGTAACAACAATAAGGCATAAATATTTGTACTGTGTCATGTTGTTTCAGCTGTCACTTGTTTTCTGTATTTCACAGCTTTGTTCTTCTACAGACACTAGCACCAATGCTCGAATTCAAATACATCGAACCTTCTTACTATAATCACACTTTTCAGAAGCATATTTCGTTTTCATAAGAAAAACAATCAAAACACGACTTATTCTGTTCATGATGACAAAACCATTTACAAGAGAATGTTCCTTTGCCCAGTACACACATCTACCGAAGACAACTTCTCACTGAACAAGCCTATTTAGAAAAACCTGTTGGCGTCACAGACCCACCCTCACTGAATACCACTTTTGGAATACACATGGGGTATTTTAAACTGCATTTTTCTCTCAGTATTCCTTGGTGCTTTACAGCGGCAGTATTGTGCCTGTATATCTAACGAAAGATGGGCAAGAAAAGCCAATGAAGTCCTTTCCACATTTGGTGAGACACCATCTTCACCACCTTAATACAATGTCCACTCTGCACCACTCACTACCAGATGCGCTTTAATGTAAACATCAAACCAACACGTTGTCCTGAACTGCATGCATTGATAATTCTTTCTAGAAAATCCAGACCACTCGCAAATAACATTCACTCCACCATGCATGCCAAAGGATAGGGAGTGTACCTGATCTCTTCTGGTGAATGATCCCAAAACAAATTGATTACACATAAAGATCATTAGTCAAATCTTAACTGTTTCAAGGAACCATGAAGTACTAATACAAGACCACATCTATTTTCAGAAAGGTGGAAAAATCAAGGCTAAAACCGATCAACCAAGCGATGCATAGTATTTTACAGTAAATTCTGAAGAAGCCCCAACATCATTCAGCAAACAGGAATTCCGCCACCCATATATCCCGATTTAGTTTACAAGGCGTTTTGAATCCACAGAACACGTACTAAACCAACAGCGAATTGATCAATGCAAAATACAAAGTCAACTTGCCTATCACATTGAACCCTCTGTCCTTGATATCAAACCCGTGAAGGTCCAGGTTAGAATATTGATCTTCAGTAACCCAAGCTTGTCGATGCTCATGCTGTTGATCGCTGGATTGTCTGGTCATGACTCGATTATTTACAGACCGCCGCCATATAGCTGGAATATTGCTGAGTGAAACTAATTTAACTCACTAACTTACTCACACACTGTCCTTGGTATCACCTCCTATCCAGATCTCCGAATAGTATTGCATTAAGCAACATCATGAACGATTTTAAATTTTGACTGGCCAAAAACCCGTTATACCTACCATTCTTGGATATGATACAACATTTAATCTAGGACATTTCTATGTAACCACCCTCCTTTACCAAGACTTTCGTCCAAAGGCACCAGTTATATCCTTGGCATTTCCTATTCATGAACGTAAATGTATGGCTTCAGCAGTATGTCTTAGATACACTCAGGGATAAACTGCCCCAAAGGATTCCAGCCACATAGTATTGGTAGATGACAGAGAGACTGACATCACTGGAGCTATACAGAAAGAGCTGCCACAGTCAGTAGTTTATTGCTGGAATCATGTAACGCAGCTATGGCTATGTAAGCAAAAGGGCAACGGTAACCAGACAGCTGCCTTTTCCAATTGTTTTCAGATCCTACTAATGACTAAAGCCCAGGAAGATTTCAACCTCCAATATAAACACCTCACGTTCATTTGGATCGTTGAACAAGACTGACCAATATATGATAGTAGGCTTTTTCAAAAGCGCTAAGTTCGTCCTACTTCGCTTGACATAACTTCAAGTAACGGTATCACAGATAACAGCGCTGTATCTTTGAATTCTCTGCTCAAAAAGAGTATTTATTTGATTTTAAAGAACACAGACACAAAACAAGTACTTTTAGCCCTCTTCCATTTGGAAACCGTCACGGTTAATGTAGTCGAAAGCATGTGAAACTCTTGCCATGCAAGCGCGTAAGGCACTGGGACCAGTTCTTTAATTATTTGTTAAGTAATAACAGTTTAATAGGTTTCTCAACCGCTTGCAACATATTTGACAGTAAAATCGCTCCAATATTGAACACATAAATATCATGACACAATTGAAAAGATACGAGCGTGCTATTTTAAACGTTTGCTTAGTGTGAGTAAATTCGCAGCAAACAAAGCTATTCTGGATGAAGCTGAACGTCATTGTATGTTTATAAATACACAAATAAGGGCAAATAAGTACTGAATTAATTTTGCGATTGAATGAAAGTCGATACCCCTTCCAATGTTATACTTTAGGTTTTAAGACGAAAATAGTCAAGTCATTTTGGCATCGTATATGAGACAAATGTTATTTAATAGCGGATTTACATATGTGTGGATATACCAAGATGTTGGTGATATGAACATGTTTTGTCTGCATTCAGAATTTCCAAACATGGTATCACAGTCGTTTCTTTTTAGTGCAT